CCTTTCTTTCCTTCTATTCTGGATTGAGCCCATTAAATGGCTGGTATGAGGATGTGTTGTTGGCGTGGTGGAGGGTGAGGATGGAGTGCAGGGGTGGGTTGTACTTACCTTTATTACCGGTTGGCAACGGGCCACCACCCACGCAGGCACAGAAGCTTCCTGATGATGTCGGGCCGGTGGGCGGAGCCTCCCGCTGGTTTTACTACCGGTTCTTGTGAACCGGTCCGAACCAGGGGCAACCCACCACTGGTGGGGTGGGGGTTATTATTTTATTCTATATTTTTATTTCTTTCATATTGTGTTATTTCCTGTAAGCCGCCCTGAGTCGTTGTAAGCGAGTAGGTGGCAATATAAATTTTCCAAGTAAATAAATAATATTCTGAAGAGCAGATATGAAGGACAGCAGGAAGAAGCTCTAATAGCGAAACATTCCTTTAGCAGACTAATAGCCATAGGATAATATTCAGAACTCTTTGAAGTTTGTTTCTTTTATCTGTGGATTGGGTTGGCCATTAATCTATTTTAAGGAATTGCACTATTGTATGTAAAAAGTTTTGAATGACATCTGGATTATAGCTGTTGCAGTTATCTGTTCAACAACCAGTTTTGTAAAAGTAGAATTAGTAATGTGCACTGTGTTGTCTTTTGTGAAACTCATCAGTATGAGATTAGAAAAAAATTCAGCATAGAAGAACTGTATTGTATTAGACGTGTTTACGTAGGGTTGTTTTGTATTACACTAACATACTCCATTACAATAATTCAGCATAGTCAATTACTGCTTGATTAGTCCTTTGATGCAGAATATAAAGAAAATTCAAATTACACAGGTCATGCCTAAGCATTCACATTTATAGCTATCTTCTTAAGTGGTTACAATTTGGACAGCCATTTGAATTTCCTTCACTAATGTTTCCTATTTAAAAAATCTTACTTAATAAAGGCAGAGTTAGAGAACATAATTCATTCTGAACCCAGGGACTGCCCACATTCCCCATCCAACAAATATTTTCTCCAGTTGTTTTTAAGAGGGGACAAGCATTGTTTTACCTTCCATTTATCCTGTGTGCTAGTGTCAAAGTTTGTAAGAGCACTCCAAATTTAAAGCACTTTGCCTAACAATTTTGTGAACATTCTCCTTCCTGTTATGAATGCCATAAGTGCTAGGTGTTATCTATACAGCATAGTGATTCCAGCCACTTGTTAGCAGACTTGAGTATTACTTCAGTTATTAGTCGTATGGTAATTGACATGCTTTTGATGAATGCTGACCCAAAATATTAGTATATATAATGTACTTTTAATGTGAGAAAAGCAGATTTTAACTTTAAGGCTAGTAAATAGTGTTGCTATTCAACAACGAACCAACATGTATTGCCAGTTGATATTAGAAACACTACAGGTTAACGACTGTAGAAAAATTCTTAAACTAGCATACAGTATTGAACTTGAAACTATCATAATTGGCTTAGGTCCGGGGTATTTGCAGGACCATCTCCTGCCTGCCTCCCACCGTCCTGTCCGCTCACACAGGGCTGCCCTCCTCAAGGTACTGTCGACCAGACAATGTCGGCTGGCGACGTCCAGGGGTACAGCGTTCTCTGTGGGCACTCCTGCCTTCTGGAATGAGTTACCCACCGAGCTCCTGACAGCCCCTGATCTCCGCTCCTTCCATCGAGGCCTAAAGACTTGGCTGTTTCAACAAATGGGCTGATTCTGATTCTTGGGTTTTATTATTTATTTGTCCCTGTTTTAATTGCTTTTTAATTAGGATTTTCTTTTATTATTGTATGTTTTTAAACTTGTGTTCGCTGCCCTGAGTCCTTTGGGAGAAGGGCGCCATATAAATATTTGTAAATAAATAAATAAATAATTGCAACACAGCAATTATAACAACTGAAAGCCAATTGGAATGAGAGACAATGGGTTAAAGGCTTGCTTAGTAAGTTATATTATTCTAGCAGCAGATAGAAAGAAAACCAAAGGATATTATAGTAGGCATATCCTAAATAAGGGGGGGCATCATGGAGGCCACCATCATACAGCCCATTCATGGCAAGAGTGACTCAGAATATATGACAGAAGCTACCCTGAAATTTCAGTCATTATCTGCTCTATAAGGGTAAAGGGGCTTAGATACATCTAAGTAGAGGTGAAGAATTAAGGGCACGTAACAATAAACTATCACTGGTTTGGTGGTGCCTCAGATAGGTCCATAGAAAGAATGGTAAGGACAGCTGAGAATATAGGACGTTTGCTTTCTGTTAGTCAGGATAGCGCTTATAAATGCTATGTGCTTAGAGCTTGAAGCATTGTTAGATATCCCACACACCCACTTCATGGTCTTTCTGTTGCTCCCCACTGGGAGGAGGTTTCAATGTATTTATAGCAGGACTACTAGATACAGCTTTGTTCCTTATGCCATCCGTCTCGTAAATTCACAGGATTCTTTTTAGTGTACATTTAAAGTGACAATAAAGTTCTATTCTATTCCATTCTACTCTATAGTGTATAACTAAAAACTCCATAGTTTAGGGCTGGGGTACTTATGGGACCGCCTTCTGCCACCAATTGCCTCCCACCGGCCAGTTCGCTCCCACAGAGAGGGCCTCCTCAGGGTGCCGTCAGCCAGACAATGTCAGCTGGCAACTCCCAGGGGGGAGAGCCTTCTCTGTGGTGGCACCTACCCTCTGGAACAATCTACCCCCCGAGATACGAGTGAGCCCAGACCTCTGGACTTTTCGTCGGGCCCTTAAAACCTATTTTTTTCAGTTAGGCGGGCTGTCCTGATTTTATGGTTGGTTTTAAAATTTGATATTGATTTTAATTGAAATGTTTTAAATTATGGGCCAAACTTTATTTAATTATTTTAAATCTATTTTAACTTTTGTGTACGAATGTTTTATTTTGGCTGTTCACCGCCCTGAGTCCGAAAGGAGAAGGGCGGTATAGAAATCTGAAAAATAAAAAATAAAAATAAAAAAGCTAAACAATTTTTATTCATAAATAAATTAAAGTACTGAATCATTTACAATTAGTACTATATACACAGAAGACCTTACAGTATTGCATTATCAAGGATTTGCAAGCAGAATTTGGGTTAAAATAATCCCAAACTTCATTAGAAAATTTTTACTAGCAGCTGCAAGTCCTTGATTTTTTCACTATTGATATTAATTGAAAAGATGGGACACAAATTATAGATGGCCAAACTTGCAGCATGCAACATGAATGTTTAATCATGTATGCAAGAATGTGTAAAGCCATAAAGCTGTAATGAATAAATATTTAATTTTACTATATACCAGTGCAAAACAAAACATAATTTAACCAAAACTTTAATTTTATAAAATGACCATAGTTTTGAACTGGATTCCTGCTTCACAACACATCAATTTTCTCATACCAGTAACACAGTAACCAGGTGGAAATATAAGAAGAAACAGACATTTTATTTGTTATTTTTATTAGAAAAAAAAACTGAGAAAATTTTCAGAAATGTTACATTTCCACTTCACAATATCTTCAAAACAAGGCCTTATGGGTTGTTATTAAAGCTTCAAAAATTATTTTGTAAAAAACAATCTCCATGATGTACCTTTGCCTAGAGTTCACTCATTACGGAGTGGTTACCAACTTTGTTAGTTATAGCAGCTATATTGTGAGTAATCCACGTAAGATTTAGCTTAGTCTGTATGTAAAGTGCAGAAAATAAAATGGTTTATTTTTCCTTCCCCCCTACCCCCATTTTTGTTCACCATGTGGCTAGGTATTTTCCTGGTCCCTTAAACTAAAGAAAAGCACCACTTTTTGCATTCAGGAGACCCTGAACATTCTATTTCCCGGCAGAAATTATTATTTTTAATTCAAAGAGTAGAGTGCGTAAAGGCAGAAAAAACGTTCAAATCCATTGGGTAGATTAAATTGATGGCATCAATTAAACTGACATTAAGCAGAATATCACTTCACTGTAAATAAATAATTATCACATTATAAATAAAAAAGCTTAAATTAATCTTTTGGGTTATTATTATTTGATTCAGAGTAACTAGTGCTTACCAGATCTTGTGTAACTACTGCATAGTTGATATTTTTTGAAACAGTATTTAACACATAAAGTGGACTACACACATCTACTTATATAAAACAAATTAAAAACCCTATGACCTGAAGTGCAGAGCTTCACAAACATGAAGCAATATTTTTTTTACACACTTAAGAAGATTATATGGAGCTTTAGACAATTTTGTATGGATTGCTTTTTAGCTAAGAAGTTTAGATTGATGATGAATCAAGGTGATACCTTAAGGTGAAAGTGTTTCAAACTTAATTTATCAGTGCTTTTATTCTAAATGCACTGACCGCCTTAATTTTATGAAGAATTAAATGTGCCGAAACCTTTTCTTAAAGAAAAATATAAAATCCAAATTGTGTCTGCATTTTATCCCCCCACCCTCCACACAAGTCACATATGCAGAGGTTTTAACACCAAGGTTTGATGAAAAATTGCACTTATTTAAACATATATTAAATACAGCATATAGGAGATAACCTAAAATACTGAAAACACACATAAGAACCTGCTTTTAATCACTGTTGCAATTGCACCAGTTTTAAAAATCAATTATATGAATCACAATAAATCTGTGTGAGACACAGTAACTGTGATTCATTATCCATCTCCTAAATGCTACCAATTTGCTCATAGCTTGGATTCACAAAGCACTTTGCTCTGTTGCAAAGAGAGTTTCTGAGACACACTTGACCACTCAGGATAGTCAAAATTAGCTCCTTCTGAAGTAAATAAATCTATAATTACAAAAAAGAAGAGCCTACTTCCATTTGTTTAAAAATGGAATGTAAATGGAGGCAATATCAGAAATAAGGATTTAAACTTAAACAGACTGGCAGGTTTCCAGTTTATAAAAGGCAATGAGGGTGCTAATCTGAGTATCCAAGGTCTATAAGACAAAAAAAAACAGTTCAAAGAGGTCTTCAGGTAGAGTTTTCTGGACACTAGACATTTAGTAGAGATGTTTTTTTTCTGCAATTAAAAAACAAAAGAAAAACAGACTCGAAAGCAGGGGGTGCAGCAGATGCACTTGGAGTTATGATGTAATTAAGACACAAAGCTAAAGGGTCCTTGGGTATTAAATGTCTTCATCCTGATATTGCAGGTATTTCGCTGCAATTGTTTCTTCTAGATGAATTCCTGAGCTCCCCATTAATGCAAAAGCTGGATACATTTTACCAGAGCATTCCACTGGGCGTTCATAAAGACACTTCATCCGATCTGCATCATAGAATCCAATGTTGCCTTTGTCACAGTCAAGGCAGATTCCAATGTTTGATGGCATGGGAAGAACTCTGTTCACACAATCTTTGGGAGCAGCTGAAGCAGATGATGCCTTAGGAATAAACATTTTTTTCATGCCTATGGTTATTAATGTGAAAGGCTGCAAGGACTCAGCAAAGATGTCTTCACTCCCACTGTCATGACCACTGTCTTGTTCGTATCTGAAAAAGACATACTAGTCATGCCACAATACTCAGGTTTTCAGTGAATTTTTCAGACTTCAGCACAATGTTCACACAATATGGTTTTGTCTTTAAAAATATTGTACTGTACAACATCACAATGTATTTGTAGGAGAGAATGATAAAGCTTTATTAAATATTAAACACCCTAGAAAGGATTCTAATTTATTAGAACATTTAACTGATCAAAATTGCTTAACGCATTGTAAGCCGCCCTGAGTCTCCGGAGAAGGGCGGCATATAAATCAAATTTTAAAAAAAATAATAATAATGCTCTTTCCAGATGAATTGCAATACAGTCATGTTGAGGACGCAATCTGGCTGCAACACTATTTCAGTGTAACCTCTTGGGAGGGGGGGGGTGAAATCCTGAAATAAGAAGCAATCCACCCCCATCCAGTGCTCAACTCAACTACAGTATGCCAGCAGGAATAAAAGCAGTCTGTATGGCACTTCAAATCCCCTAATCTACCCTGTCTAATACAAGTAACCCTCAATTTACAACAGTTCACTTAGTGACCATTTGAAGTTATAACAGCCCAGAAACTGTGAATTATGACAGCTTTCCACACTTACGACCCTTGTAATATCTCCATGGTCACGTGATCAAAATTCAGATGCTTGGCAACTGACTCATTTCATTTAATTGCCTCAACTGACTTCTTTCAGATCACGGTTCTCAATCTTTCTGGCTCCATGGACCAGTGGCAGTAGCGGGGGATGGAGGGAGGATGGTTTCGCACAGACAACCTAGGTCCAGTGCATGCACGAATAAGCTTTGTGCGCTTATCTGCCATTTGCATGGCTCAATTTCCAACAGGCTGTGGACTGGTATTGGTCAGCAGCCCAGGGGTTGGGCACCCCTGGTTTAGATTATAAGAAAACATTAGTATGATGTGAGTTTCAGATTCTAGATCTAATTTTTCACAAGATCAAAGTACACACTAAGATACTATATTTTTTGCACTATAAGAAGCACCTAGCTTTTGGGGAGGAAAACAAGGAAAAAAATCTACCTCTGCCTCCCAGCAACTATCAGTATTCATCTGGCTAGCGTTCTTGCAGCAAACAGCCTGGTCAGCTTCAGCACGTTATCGCAGCCCAATTTAGCACAAGCAGCTGATTGGCAGTTGGATCGGCCTCCCAGAATACCGCCAATCAACTGTTCCAGGTTGCGGAGATCGCCACTGCCTATTGCCGCCTCCGCGCATCCCGTTTTCAGCCTTTGCGCATACCATTTTCAGCCTGTTCCAGGTAGCGGGGATTGCCGTCGCCTATCGCCGCTGCTGCCTATCGCTGGCGGCAAAGGTGATAGGCAGCGGCAACAATCCCCACCGCCTGGAACAGGCCAAAAACGGGCTGTGCAAAGGCTGAAAACGGGGTATCCCGAGGCCAAAAACGGGGCGCGCAGAGGCTGAAAACAACTAAAGTGTGTGGGCTGGCGGATAGGTGGGTCTTCAGCAACATTCGCTCTATAAGATGCAGACATTTCCACCCACTTTGGGGGGGGGGAGAAAGTGCATTTTATAGACCGAAAAATACAGTAATCTAAGCACAACTGAATGAACCTGTTGCCCAGGGAATACATAAAAGGAGAGGGTATCATGATTTTTCAAGAGTGGACAATTCTTACAAAGCCACATTTTTTTTTATTTTAGATTAGCTTGCTCTCAGATTGCCTTTTATATGACTTAAATTTCATGTGTCACTTCTAACATACAGCTTTAGAAGTGTTCTATTTACATTTCTTTCAGCTAGATCAGGAGTATCAAACTCGACTTCATTGAGGGCCGCATCAGGGTTGTGTTTGATCTTGGGGGGCCAGGATGGGCGTGGCCAGGGTGGGCATGGCCAGCTCAATGTCACTCGTGTCAGGGGCGCCTTTGGTGGCCCAAGTGCTCTGCCAGCAAAAAGGGGCTTCCAAACTCTGGTTTTGGCTGTGATGGCCTCCTGCAACCCTCTGCCAGTGAAAATGGAGTTGACAGTGCCGTCCGCGGCCCTCAGGAGCTCTGTTTTTGGCTGCGACAGCCTCCTGCAACCCTCTGCCAACAAAAACGGAGTTCAGCCCTCCTGAGTTCCATTTTCACTGGCAGAGGCACTGCGGGCTGGTCCACCACTGTTTCCAGGGCAGCCCCCCGGGCCAGATCTAAGCACCCCGCAGGCCACATCCGGCCCCCAGGCCTTGAGTTTGACACCCCTGAGCTAGATGCATTCTTTTCTACATTCCATGAAGTATTCTAATTATTATTAATTATTAATAGATTATTAAACCCTATTAATAGAGTTGCCTCGAGATGGGCAGCAAACAAATTTAATAAGTAAGTAGGTAAATAAATAAATCCTAAGTAAACGCCATATTCCAATTGTCACATTTCTCAAAATCATGTCACAGTGGATTTAACTTGTGCATACCCCTATATAAAATTATAAATCTCTTAACTTGAGGAAAGTATCTACATATTTTGTTAATCGTATACTTAAGTATGTCTGTTTTATGTATCTTAACATTATGATATGTAATGGCTAAGACCCTGGATGTACCACTCAAGGATTATTGTTGCTATTCTTGTTGTTATTCTTTTTATATATATATATATATATATGGCAGCCTTCTCCCATCAAAAGATCACGAAGCTGCTTTTGGAACTTTCAATTCAATGAAAGCATGTTGGAATTCATTTGACATACACAGACTAAAATTCCCTTGGGCATGAAAAAATGGTTCTGTATTTCTTAGATGCAGATCATTATCTAAAATATTATCTTCCATGTTAACGTACAATTAATGTATTTGACCTAATGGATAAATGCTAAACTATTAAATTACAACAGCAGAACTTAAAACAAAATCTATGAAAACAATAGAAAGTGATTACTTTACCTGGGGCTACTTTGTTCACGAGAATTGTGAAACCATTCTTGGATCTTAACATCAGATGCAACTCCTACTTTCACAAGATATGAATAGGGTTCCACATGGAAAGCCCAGAAATGCTTTCCTTTCACAACACCAGTGTCTCCAATAATGTAGTCCAGGGCAGTGTAACAGCCTTGTTGGATACGTTCAGCTTCCAAAAGCAGAGGAAACCCAGCTCTGCTTTCCACAACATTTCTTCTTGCATTTAGCAGAAGACGTTCACTATTGTAGCCACATTTGTCATCCAAAAGAAAACTGAAAACTAAAAATGAATAACCAGTCAGTAGAATTATAGCTTCAGAAAATATCCTAAAGAGGAGGATAATAAACATCTCTCTCCCAAAATTTCTAGGCTACCCAATTCCATGACTCTGGGAGGCTTAACATGTATAAACAATAAAATCAAAATAAAATCCAGAAACATGTTAGAGGGAACAAAAAGTTCTAAAGAATACAGATAAGTCTTGAGTTACAGCAATTCATTCAGTGACCTTGGGAAGTTATGATAATGCTGAAGGGTCTTACAATTGATCCTTAAAGTTCCGGCTGTTGCAGTGTCCCCATGGTCATATGAACAAAATTCCAATACCTGGCAACCAGTTCACACTTACAAGTAGATCCAGCATCCCACAGTCACATGATTATCATCTGTGTCCTTCCCTGCTGGCTTCCCCCAAGCAAAGTCAGCAGAAAGTCACAAGTTGCTAGGGAAAGTCTCCCCTCCACCTTTCTTCATTTGCATGTACCACACCCTCCATTTGTACATATCTTCTGCTCTTTTTAGATGGCCTCCCCACACCTACATGCACCCCAAATCCTCTTTCTACAGCTTCCCTGAAATCACACATGCTCTACACCCTTTTTCCATGGCCTCCCTGCTATGCACAGGCAATGCACACACATGTACCACCACTCTCATTTCCCTTTTCCTTGATCTCCCTGCAATCGCACACATACTCCATGCTCTTTTTCTGGCCTCCCTGCACTCATACACATTTACATGTTCTCCACACTCACTTTCCCTGATCTCCCTTGCACTTCCTACACAGGCACTTCATACCCTTTCTCCAGCCTCACTGAACTTGCACACATGCATCATCTTTTGCTGTCTGAATTCATGTCGCACCAAACGCCCCTCTCCCAAATCATTGCAACCTGTGTCAGTCCTTCCTCACCCCCTTGCAGCACCCCTGCATTCCTTACCTCCCGTGTTTCCTGCTTAACTATTTGTGCATCTTAACTATCTGGATTGCTATCACTAAGCAATGCAGTGATGTTACACTTTATGACTACATTGTTTCGTAATGGCAATCCTGGTCCAATTGTAGTTGTAATTCGAGGGCTAGATAGATAGATATAGTTAGATGATAGAGACAGACAGACAGACTATATACTTTGAATAGTATTTTAAAGTAACTGCTGTTGTTAAGGAATCTCAAGAATATGTTATAATTTTTGTCAACGTTTCTTCTGATGCATTATTAGAAAATGGACAGTATACCAGGTAGTCAAACTATTTAATTTCTGCTTTTATCCGAATTGCTATAGAATTCTTTTTTCTCTAAAAACAAGTATTACTTTATATTCAAAAATACTAAAAATGTCATATATCATGGCATCTTATACTTCATTATAGCAACTTAAAGACTGATGAGAATCTATGGATATCATCTAAATTATGTTATGTAGACTTATTAAGTATGAGTGTTTAAATTTATACCTAACACTCTTCAGTTTCACTAATTGCAACAAGAGAACGGGGACAAAAGTATCATGTGTATATTTTTTATTGTACCTGGAGCTGGTGGTGTATGTAAGATAAGTTCTCTGCTCCATGGGCTACAGATAGATCCTTTATATCCTCTGACCCTAAAGGCATAGGTACTGTTTGTGTCAAGGTCAGAAATTATTTCACTCTTACTGCAGACTTCAATTTCTTGCCATGCTGTATTAGCCTCTTCTTTATTAAGCTTGCGATATTCAAGTATGTAAGTATCAGCTGAACCTGTTTTCTGTGGATGATCCCAACAGATCAAAGCTTTGTTATACATTTTGCTCCGTTCCTCACTGATTTCTGGTATATCATTCCCTGTATTAAACATACAAGGTGTTAATATATAAAAATACTAGAGGAAAAATACATTTATATATATAAATATTCATAACATTAAGGAGAGAAGAAGGGCAAAACATGTTTACATCATTCTCAGTCAAATGTTGTTGTCTTCATCCAGCCTATCCAGCCAAATTTAGGTGTGTTCAATTCTCGAGTGAGCATCATTTTTGACAACCAAAAATGAACCAAGGGACCTTTTTACAGGTTACTTACCCACACATATTATCCTCACCAAACCATAGTGCTGCTCACAACATACCAACTTCTCTTTTACAACGAACATTACACCAGGGGTAAACAAAAATTTGGCCTGCCTACCTAGATGGCCAGAGAACACCTGCAATGGGTCCCCATCATCCCATTACCCAAGAGACATAACAAATAGGGGCAAGCATTTTCTGTAGGATTCTCTTCTAGTGGAATATTCTCTTCATTGACCTGAGGATCAACCTGCCCATTCTTCCAAAATACTGGAAAATATCTCTTCCAGATGGTCATTGTAGATTGATTGTGGCATAATCAATGTTAAAATTAGTGTTTTGGTACTATATTTTCTATTTTATTATCTTTGTATGGGTCCCAGTCAAGCCAGATGTTTAGACTGGATTTGTCATTTTAAGATAGGCATTCTTATTTGATACTGTTGAAGGTATCATCATGGGATATAAGATGTTCCAAGTAAAACTGCAATTGACTGATGATAATTTTATCAATTCAAATGGTGTTCCAGATCTTTTGGGACTGTACCCACCAAGATGCCTATTACTATTGATACTAGCCTTGCTTACTTTTGCCAGTCATTCTACTTCTGTTTGCAGATCTTTGCATTTGAAATTTTCTCCATTCTTTCTCTTCTATGATAAATAAATAAACACTGCAACATCCACTATCCAGACTTTTCTATCTTTCTTATCAACAATTGTTAAGTCTGTGGTACTATATGGCAGGTTCTTGTCTGTTTGAATTCTAAAACCCCAGAGCACATTAGCTTCCTCATTTTTTATTATTTTGTCTGTTTGGTGATCATTTGTTTCCTTGCAGATAAGTGGTATTTCTTGCAGATATTCCAATGAACCATTGTTTCTGCTTTGCCATGCCACTGTTTGTAGTCAGCCTGTACAATTTTCCTGCAGCAGCTAACTAGTTAGCCCTCCATTTCTTCAGTTTCTTTGGGGAGGCAGCAATTGCTGTCTGTTGCTGCTTCTCAATTCTGGTTTTGTATGCATTTTTCTTAAGATTTGGTGTTGTGCAGCCAGAATTAATCCCTCTGTCTCTTTCTTCAATTTTTCTGCTCTTATCCATTGCCACATTCTACTGTACACCCACTCAAATAATATATATGAACTCATACTTAGAGATGTTAGTAATATCTTGTTACTAAAGATATTGGCCAATTTCTCTTCCTATAAGGATTTTTAGTATACTAAGAAATTCCCATTTGAGGATGATCAAGTGTGTGTTCAACCAACTTTTGAAGAATATTGAATACTATATCAAAAGCAAACTGTTTACAAACACAGTTTCTCTTGCTCCTTTTCTGAGGTGGAAGAGATTACATCAGTGGTGAAATCCAATTTTTTTTACTACCGGTTCTGTGGGCATGGCTTGGTGCGCGTGGTGTGGCTTGGTGGGCATGGCAGGGGAAGAATACTGCAAAATCCCCTTTCCCTCCCCACTCCTAGGGGAAAGATATTGCAAAATCTCCATTCCCACCCAACTCTGGGGCCAGCCAGAGGTGGTATTTGCCGGTTCTCCGAACTGCTCAAAATTTCCACTACCGGTTCTGCAGAACCTGTCAGAACCCTGGGTTAAATGTTTTTTCCTTTAAACTTACCATTTGAATGGAAACACATATTTTCAAGAGCTTCCTGTTGCTTTTCTATGTCAAGAACAAAGTCTTCAAAAGAAGCTTGAGCTGCAGGCCTGAAGCACTTTAAAGATTCAGTAGCTTTCTGAATTCTGTAGACAGAAAAAAATACCAATATTATGCACACACTAACAAATTGCCTTTAATACTTTAATATGAGAAAAAAAATGAATGGATACCATTCATAAACTATACTAAAATACATGATTCTTTACTTTTTACTTCTAACTGCAAATTAATAAAAAATAATTATTTCACTAAAGAAAATCCCTATATTATAATGAAATTAACACTAGCAGCTGAACTCATATAAATTGAATAAAATTTTCAAGATGGTAAAATGTAATCCAACAAAAATTCTCCTGTGCAAACTAATTAAAATAGATAGGAACGTAATGGATCTCATCTTGCATTATATCTTTGGGTCCAAAGCAGAACATGCATCAGCAGAACGTACTCCTATAGGTATATATTATACACTATATAAGACAAGTTTCTAATTTTTGTACCTGTTACTCTTGCACTGCATGCATCTCAAACCAGTGGGTACTATTGGAGAAATGATTTGCAAAAGTACAACTAAAAGGACATTGGGAAATTGGGAAAGAGACATGCAGAGGATTACACACAATTCAAGCCACTCTGAAAAGAAATAAATTACATACCTATCATGAAGCTGCTTTGCTGTTTGAACAAAACAGGATGGGTCTGTTTCTTTGAGAACTTCTTGTGCATATCCCACTAGGCCGTTATTTTCTAGAAGTCCTTGATACTCTTCTATTTGAGAATGCAATTTGTCCATTCTTAAATTTTTGGATGCTTCAATAGCTCTAAGTGCAGTGTTTTTCCTTTCCTCCAAAACATGAAGCAGCTTATCGAAGTTATTAGAAGCTTCCTCCTTCGCTCTTTCACCATTGCACTGGATTTTTTTTTAAGTTAAAGCAGGATAATATATTAATTTTACGCATGTTTTTGATTAGTTTCAAGAACAATTTCAAGGAAAGAAGTGAGATTAATGTGATGTACAAAACAGAATTCTTTCTATAGCAAGTCTGTCAAAGTTGTGGCCTGCAGGCCAGATGCATCACACCCTGGCCACCCCCACCCCCAATTTAGCGAAAGGGAAAAAAGTTGTGATACGTCATGTGATGATGTGACGACATGAGTTTGACATCTCTGTTCTATAGGAACATAAGTTAAAGTATTTGATACACTGAAATAGCATTGTTCATCTTTATGATTCTGAAGTTTAGTTTACAATCCAACCCTTTACACATGTGGAAGTAACCATGGCAAACCACAGTTGTAAACAAAGAATTGCTCTTAAAAATGTAGACACTAGAACATCTGTAACAATCAGGACAAATATATTAGGATGAAGGAACATTTCATCTAAATTACTTCTCTACATTAAATGTTAGGTTTCAAGGTCACAGTAGTACAAAACCGCTAGAAAAAATAGAAAAATACTATTTTTTAAAAGAACACATTTATAATAGAAGCCTTTCAAAACTCTTTAAAAATTGAAATATTTTCACTGCATTTCAGAATAATAAATTATGGATATTTGCATCTCACAATCTCAAAGGCAATTTAAAACAAACTACCTTTTCGTAACAAGAGTTATTTCAGAAGGAAAGGGTGAGAGATGCCTGTTCAGTATGTAGGCATTTAGCAAATATTTTTCCAATCAGGGCCATTCATGGGGGCAAAGACCAAAGAGTAACAAAGAACAAGGAGTCTACAACACTTCCTTTTCTGGACAAGATAAAAAGTGAAGAGAGGGAGGGCAGTTAGGCTACTCAGTTTGTCCCAGAGAGAATGCTTTCTTGCCAAACAGGGTGAGGGAGACTCTCTACTTTCTCCATTCCTATAGTACTTTTTTCTAATTTGATCAAAATTGTAAAATGGGTTAGCACTGGCTTTGGTTGCTGCTTGATTGTGGCATAATTTTCTGAATATTTTATATAATTATCAAGCTGTAGAATATGATTAATCTAATTTTCAATAACAGATTTTCTAAAATTAAATGTTAGCTGCTCAGCAGCCAAATATTTTTTATTTGATGGTCATAATAGCTAGTAATACACTTATAGTCAACTGTCACAAGTACAGTAACTGAATGATCAGTAGTAGCACAATTTTCTAATACAACATAACCTATTTACGAAGCAGAATATGTAGCTCTTTGGGTTTTTTAATGCAATATGCAAGAACTTATGCAAGAATATGCAATAAATTAGTCAAATTATAATGCATAGAAACGTTTTAGTTTGAATAAAATTGTTTATGTAGAAATTCACATTAATACTAGTACTATTAAAGAGCCATAAAGTAGCCCTTTTTTTTGCCCATGGCAAAAATAAGTAGTTCTTACCTCAGCTTCTTTCACTAAAAGACCAAGCTCTGTAATTTGGTTTTTCACATGGCTCTCCTTACTAATGAGGTAGTGTATATCCTGTGAAAGGTTCTCCTATGAAAAATCATACCGCATGGTTAAAAATGATTGTAAAGTACTATTTTTGCATTTGTGAATACAAGGAACATTAATATTTTTTGTTTTGTGACTGACAGTTCGGTTCAATAAACGTCTATGTTCTATATTATCTTTCTAAACTACAGCCCAGCAATTGTTTTAGAATTAACTAAAAGTGCACATACTTCAAGCATGATATGAGAATAAAGAAATGTGATGGGCCTTGGCATAAACTATGTAGGGAGCAATGTCAAATATTTGAAAGCTGCATTTAAAAAGGTAACCATGTTCTTTTACTAATATGGAAACATTTGTTGTTTCACTAATTCTAATTGCTTCTTCGTTTGCTTACAAATTTAAAAGGTTATTAAAAGAATATAGTATACAATAAGTCAATTAAAACCTGCAGTGAACCAAAACAATTTAAGCCAATATTACAATTATCAAATTATATGCTTTCTCTTTGTTCCAAGAGCTAATCTCAAATGTTACTTGTCCCTAAAATATTTATCTATTTGAACAGCTGGCATGAGTCAATATAAGGTATTCAAGGATATTAAACATTTTGCATGACCATGACCTTGTATTATAGATGGAAATACTCAAATGTGCCTAAATGTTAAAACATGATTAGGACCAGAGATAATTAAGCAAAGTTAAAGACAATTTTATTTCTGAGGAAATTTCTAATATTCTACAGATATAACCACTTTGGAAGATGATAATTATTGAGCCAGCTGGTCACAAAATTGTGGCATAAGTCAGAATCAAAACAGACTGGATGCTCTTTAATTACCTAGGTTTTATAAAATGTCATGACACTGAACAAAGGATCAGTTCAACAAAGCAGCTACTTTACACTTTGAAACACTAAGCAACACAAAACCAGCCAAGAAATAAAGACGGGAGACACCTTAAGTGTTTTGTAGGCACTGCTCATGGTAGTCACTCGATGATTTGCATGTGTACCACCCAATTTGCAAAGGTGACAAACAGGTCTTCTGCATATTTCACAGTACATATTTACTTTTTCCATTTCATGTTCCGGACACATCAAAATCTAAAAATAAAATAATAGAATATAAAATATACTTCAAGAACTGTGTAATGATGAAGTAAAATCAGAAGTATTTTCATTTTTGTTTTTCATATACATTTTTTCATATACATCTTTATGAAGATATTAAAATTATTCTCTTCCTTTCTTATCAGATAGTATTTATATACAAATGAATGGATTTATACTCGGGCTACATTGTATCAAATTGTTTAAAAATGAATGCCACAAATCCATTGCAACTTTCCAAAGAAGGGTAAATTTTCTCCCAAAACTTTCTCTTGTTCAATATTGAACAATTTTATGTTGGAATCTGGGTCTCCAGCCAATAGATTCTCTTAATCTCGTCTGAAGATTTTAGGGACACACTGCAGAGGAAAAAGTTGCATGAGGAACTGTCTCTGTAACACTGGATGGAGACTTTTTAAATAGTATTAATCAGGGGTAAAATCTAAAATTTTTCCCTACCGGTTCTGTGGGTGTGGCTTGGTGGGGGGGGGTGTCCTGTGACTGAGTGGGCGTGGCCAACTCGATATCACTCACAGCCACACCCACTCAGTCACAAGACCCCTCCCATCAAGCCACTCCCACAGAACCCAGTAGGAAAACTTTTAAAATTTCTATTCTGCTGGCGTGTCCTTACCTTTCTCCCGCAGCTCCGCCCATCCGCCCCATTCCCCGGAGTCAGGGAATGCACCATTCCCTGACTCCATCCTTGCCGCAGAGCCACTGCCTGCTCACCCTTCGCCACGTGGCTCCGCCCACCCGCCCCATTCCCCAGAGTCTGGGAATGCACCATTCCCCGACTCCTACTGCTCATCTTTCTCCTGCGGCTGTCAGGGAAAGCAAGCGGCCGAAAGTTACCGGAGTCGCTCACTCTCCTTCTTGAATGAGCCGCTCTGGTCCACACGCTGGCTGTGCAAGCGCACACCCAACCTGCCGCTGATGAGTGAATTAAATAAACAGTGTGCGTTTGCGCAGCCGGCGCTTGGACCAGAGCGGCTCATTCAAGAAGGAGAGTGAGCGACTCCGGTAACTTTCGGCTGCTTGCGTTTCCTGACAGCCAGCCATGGGAGAAAGGTGAGCAGTAGGATACACCGCGTGGCGAAGGGTGAGTAGGTAGCGGCTCCGCGGCAAGGCCAGAGTCGGGGAATGGTGCATTCCCTGACTCCGGGGAATGGGGTGGGTGGGTGGAGCCTCCAGCTGCCATTGCTACCGGTTCTCCGAACCACCGGCCATCATCGCTACCTACTCGCCCGAGCCGGTCCAAACCAGGAACATTTCACCCCTGGTATTAATGTAACTATACAACTTCGACATACATGACCTTATTGTACGAAATACTGTATATTTTGTTATTTTGGAAAATTTCAATCTCATTTGCTTCTACTGCCTTTTGAATAAATTTTGTCTTAAGACTAGATCATTGGACTTTTTCTTTCAGACCCAGAAGCCTAGTTACCTGCATTTTTTCACCTTTTAAAGTTAATGAAAACAAATTCCTTAACCATTTGTTTGCATCAAAGCTTTCTTTTTTTCCCCAGCTTAACTACATCAATTATACTGTACTATATTTTTCTAAATTTCAGAATTAATGGAAAATACGATACTTTTGGCTAAAGTATCAAAGGAGCCTAAAGTTCACTTAAATAGGATTATAAAATTACATCTTACTGAAACTATTTAATTAAAATTGGAATTAGAGCAAGAATATCACCATCTTCCCTGAAATATTACATATGGGTTTATTCTTTAATAACTTTCCAAGGCAGTTTTTTACAATAATAAGTTTTTTTATATTAATGGAAGGCACCTCCACTTACAGGGATACTGCAATATTCATTAGGCTGAAGCTATAGTCCTCTGCTGCAGGACATGCCATAATAGAAGTTTTTCCAATGTTAACAAAAGCATTTTGCAACAGGGAGGAAATTACTGAATTTATAATATGGTTGAGAAACCCAGGCACTGTTGAACTACAGTGATCAATTGGGGGAAAGAGTGCTCATTGCTCGGGGGGGGGGGGGGTGTCTGTTAAATCACAAATTATTTCATTTGGGCAATTTAAGTCATTTGTATAACTACATAATTATGCAAAACGTAGAAATTATGTCACTCCTGGTGATTTTCATCATTTGAATAAAGATGTAAATTGATGCAAATTACATAATTTGTGCATGATTTGTTAGAGATATTGTAAATAACAACAAAGATTATTTATATTAATCTCAATTTTACTGTTCATCTAGACTATTTTGGTCCATTATAGTTTGTTAAAAGGGGTTCTATTAAACTGAGCTTTCACCATATAACTAACCCTAATGGTGGGTATGTCAACTGTTTTTGCAACTCTACAATCTCTCCGATATTTAATTATTTGATTCAAGATACTATTTAGACTAATGAGAAAGATTTAATACTGGTTCAAGAGCTAGTGCAAATGGATGCAACTATGAACAAATTATAAACTAGAAACTAGGAGGGGAAAGATAACAATTTCGACAATGAAGACTTGGAATAATCCCTGAAAGCTAAACATCCTAATTTAATTTTCTAAACTGCACATTTCATACATTATTTACAATAAATTTCAATATCAGGCTTCAATAGACAAATCTTAAGAATATAATCATCATCAGTCCAATTCGTATTTTTTTTTTTGCTTGAAGAATTAAAATATGTATTTAAAAAAAGAATCAGGAAGTAATCACCCAGACTCAGGATTATCTTCATTTACTTACAGTTATGAAACATGGAGATCATTTAAAATTGGCAAATAGATAAGTATTTTTATAAGTAAAATAGTAGTCTTGAGGTAGCATTACAAAACAAAGATGTTGAGCAGAAAAGGAAATTTTCTGTTATATGCTACAGGGCATGCTCACTTGAGACTTGAAGCCAATTAACATCTGAATCCACAGCTATTCCACAAAATGTTATAATCTGATTCATGCTGAAGAACAATCTATTCACAACATACAATGAGGACAGAACTGACCTAAAAAACCCTACTATCAAGCAAAGGTTCCTCACTCTGAACAAGTTGCTGAACAGCAGAAAACTTCAACCATGATGTCAGAATTGCTACTGTGTGATGTGTAGCATAAACTGAGCTACAGCTAGAGGTCACAAGACCATTTTTATGAATTGGTTTTTGCAAAATAACAACTTTTCCCCAGTTCTGTGATCTTTGTCCCATTTAGCAGTGTTTAAGAATGTTCTCAAAATTATAAGCATGGCTTTTACCACATTACCAAAAAATAAACCTGAATCCTTCTTTCTAGCTTGGGACCTGGTTACTTACGGGACCGCCTACTACCACCAACAGCCTCCCACCGACCAGTACGCTCCCACAGAGAAGGGCTCCTCCAGGTGCCGTCGGCCAAACAATGTCGGCTGTCGGCCCCTAGGGGGAGAGCCTTCTCTGTGGGGGCACCGACGATCTGGAATGAGCTCCCCCCAGAGATACGGAGGATTCCGGATCTGCGCACCTTCCGCCGCGAGTTGAAGACGCTTTTATTTCATCAAGCGGGCCTCGCCTAAATCTTCTCCCTTTTAAGTGTAAATTTTAAATTTTTAATGTATTTTAAAATTATGGGTATTTTAAATTATGGGTATTAATTCAGCCAAATTTATTTAATTCATTTTATTCGATTTTAAATTTTGTATATCTATGTGTTTTATTTCATGGCTGTACACCGCCCTGAGTCCTTCGGGAGTAGGGCGGTATAGAAATTCAATAAATAATAATAATAATAATATCTATCTAATATAATCTATTTATGAAAGACTGAACAAAGTCTATTACAATTTTTCTGAAAAACAGTTTAAATCAACAGTAAATCAGGGATGGCAACATTTTGAGCATTTTTCTGCATAGGCACTACTTTTCCAGCAGTTTTACATGATTATTTTAAAAATATAGAAATAAGATATGGATCTAATAAGGCTGGACACATGGTATCTATGATATATTTATGTGTGAACAAATATTATCCAACTTCCTGTTCTACCTTTTTTTTAAAAAAAAACTAGAATTTTGTCAGGCACGGAGTTCAAATAAACTGATTTATTGCTAAAATCTATGCACAGGAATCTTTTCAAGTAATGATCAATACCTTGCTAGAGTTAGATAAGAGCCAACTACACTCAAGGGGGGAGAGTTGTACTTAGTTCACTTGTGGCTACTTAACCATTCTAGCCTGATCCTCTCTTCACTCCGCCCCCAGGTTCTGCCATTCCTTCTCCTACATATTTGGCCAATAGCAAAACATAGCACATCTCATTTTCATTTCTAAGAATACCAAATATAGTTTCACTACATGTTCTTAGAAAAACAAATACTAAAGGAAGGCAATCATCTTTGGGGGGGTGGGGGTGGGAAGGAAATGTGCTCATCCATCTACAAAATGGTGATTTACAATGGAAGAAAAAAATCCAATACAACTAGCAGTTAAGACCTCAAATTCCATTTTAGGAACATTAGGTTTCTTAACAAAATGTTTAAGATTTGGGGGGACATCTATAAATATAATACTCTTAACACCATAAGAGCTCAGCAGTTGTTTCATACCAAAATTTAATGAACAGTTTTAAACAGATGCATATATGTTCAATTCTATGTGATTAAAAGCACACTGAAAGAAAATACCACTTACTTTAGGTCTGAAATTGGTGGTTGGTCCCACATATTCATGTTGGGCTTTTAAAGTTCCCCAGGGATGGTGTATTTTGAAGCATTCGTTGCAATAACTTGCACTACAATCCATGCAGCTCTTTGTGGATTCTTGTGCTGGAGGTTTACATAGATCACACATAATAGCTGTGGCTGCCCTCGCTGCCTGCCTGTACCGTTCTACAATAGTTTCCAAGGTGACATTTCGAAATAGGCCACTGATGCCACGTTCGCCAAGATCTACATCATGCCGGCATCCTGGGCAAGGGAAGGTAGTTGTCCTAGGAGTCAATGAATTGCGTTTCCAACCTGCATAGATGGTAGAATCTAATTACAATGCAATAAAACATGTTTTATCTTTTCAAGAGACGAAGAAATGCTAAAACACTGGATTGCATTTAAAAAAAATAATGTACATCATAGGCAGATACTAAATTAGTGCCACAGAGTACTATTATTAAACAACTTTTCAAGTTGTTATTAAACATCCCAAATGAACTATGTAATCTTAACATGGAAAATTACATTAAATGCTTTATAAATGGACAGTCCATGAGTAAAATGTTAGAATGAATACATACATATAGAATATAGTAACAACCATAATTGAAAATAGTATAATTTAAATGAGAAAGATTGTATAATTGGAAGGATTTGTTCAGATCCTTCCTTATCTGGAAACTCACAATAGCCTTTTGCAGTTTATGGTCTCCCAACCCAAGCTGCTGCAAATGTTTTTAATAAGGTATTTAACTGATCCCATTATTGTTGTGGAGCAGAAATAGGGAAAGAAAGAAATCAGCTTGTGAAGCAAAGGAATAATACTATACTTCATTCTCAAACTGCAAGCAATTACTAACTAGTCATTAAAAATGCCTCATACAACCGAGTTTTTTCTCCATAAACATGCAAATATATGCACGTTTGCTTCAATATTAGTAATATTCTTTTGGAGCTACAAGATTAACAGCCCTTAAAATATAACTCATGAAATCCTAGACAAATTTCTATAGAAAGAAAAGCTGATTTTTCTCACCTTTGATGTCAAAAATAAAGTAAATCCCCCCTCTGAGTTTAAGTAAATCTAGACAACTTTCAAATATTACATATAGATAGTCTTTTTCAAATCCACTTTCCCAAAATATCTGTATTGTTTTGGAAAACTATAATGCAAAGGTAAAATAAATTATAGCTTCTTTTCACAAAAAGAAATTTTTGAATTTCTAAAATATATGGAGAAGTGGTCATTCTTAATTACATTACAATGGCATTTATTAATTTCAATTAATAAATTAATTTACTAATTTCACATGATTATTTTTAAAAAATTGTTAGGACAGCAGGTTTAATCTAAAAAGGTCACACATGCTAATAGCATAATACACATGCATTTTTAAAATTAAAATACAGTATGCTCTAAAAAAAATTTAACTCACAACACAAACCACTACTGATATACTGAGAAGTAAGTGCCATTGAGTTGATCTGAGTTATTTAAAAATAATTAATATAAGTCTTTAAAATGTAAACAGCAGGAGGATATACTCTATAGCATGCAACATGCAGTTAAGCAATGCTACAGAAGCAAATTTAGGCTGGCAAATTAAGCAGGGAAGTAACTTAAGGCATTATTATTCAATAATGAGATTAAACATATATGAAAAATAAAATGCAATTTTATGTATATGTAAAAATGTATAAATTAAAGTGTAGTGGTCAAGTATAGATAGTATGATTTGAAATGTTTAGATAGTAACATGCTTTTGAAATGCCCATAAGGGCCAATATTTTCACTGAAGCCAAAGCATAAATGCTTAGAACTGTTTCAAGTTTAATTACAAATAAAAGTAACAATAATGAAAACATGTGATGTGATGATGATAATGATTGTTATAAAGATACCTAAGATGTTCTATCCCTTTTTATATTCTCTATATTTGCTGAAACTAAGGTAGTATATGGCATTTTACCCTTATTTGCACAGATATCACAGACTTCAGACATTATTAGTAGTAGTAGTAGCAAATCTTTATTTGTCTGGGCAAGATTTATTTACATTTGAATTTAAAATCAGTTTAAACCCTATCAGCACAGTTAATACAGACAGTCAGTATGCTATTTGTCTTTGTGTTTTCTATTATACTTTATATCCAGAGGATCAGAAAATTTCAGCTGGGCTGAACACAGTATGTCCCTCTCATATTCCAGTTAAGATACTGAGTTCAATTTTAAACTACTAAAGAACTTGGTACCTAGACTCTTAAGACATCTATGAATCTGCATTAAATTTAAGATTGTTCTAGATATCCTTCAATGAACATCATCTTTGCATAGCCCCAGAAGCAGCTCAACATTTAAGAATACACATACTCTTATATTTTCTTCTACCTATACAAATACAGAGCTGGCTAAGAAAAATTTCCAACTGCCTTTTTCTGCTTCTACATGATATTGCAAGACTATAACCTGTGGTTGCAAGGCAGAAAGTCCTTTTATCAATGCTTCTACTACTCAGGGAGAGATAAATTATTTTATTCAATATTCTAACAGATTCATAAATAATTCACAATACCACACAACAAAGTAGAAAAGGGATAATACCCCCTTAATTTATTGTAGAGTTCTGAATCAACAGTATCACCAGCATATCACATGAAAAATAAGAAGAATCAGTTCATAGGCTGTATTTAAAAAATACTCTGCAAAATTAAGTCAACTGGATTCATATTTTGACACTAACAATGCTCTTCCTATAGCAACAACGGTCTTCCTATCTTTTGAAATAATATTTTAAGATTATTAGAGAAAGACAAAGATTGAACTGGGAACTAAAATTAGAAACTAAATCACAGTTTGGGAATAAGAATTTTTGAACAGAGATTATTAGGTCTAATTAGAATAATAATATCTAAAATCTATTACCCTCACACTGGAAATTTTTTTGGTTACAGTCATACTTTTTGAGAATTGAATTCTAACAAAAATGAATTTTGAAAATGGGGCATAATCTCATAATATTCTTTCCAGAAAATAATGAAAATACAAACCTGATAGCAAAAATCGAGTGTATGGAATACAGCATTTATTCTTTTACCATTATTTTTTTCCTTTACAAGAGAATGTGATTAAAATTCCTTTACTAGTGAATTTTGCAATTGACATCTATACTTTTTCAAAATTTATTTGTGTCAAAGGAGAACTCAGAATATAAAAATTAACAAAATTTTTCACTTAGGACATCTTGGTAGCATCAGAATCACTATACCAAAATTCAAAATATCATTATTATGTCTAAAGTTAATGTTTAATGCATGTTTAAGTCATCTAATGAAGGTGCAATATTGCCCATTTGAATCCAGCGAGCTCTATATGAATTAGCAAAATGAAAGTAATTTTTGTTTGCAATATTGCCAACTGATAATTTTGGACTTGACCACTGATACTTAAAATAATTATACTAAACCTAATATAATAAGTTCCATGTTCTAACAAATATTATCTACAGCCATATAAAAGGAAACATTTCTACCTCTCAACCCATGAGGCCTCCTCTGTGAGGCTGTAAACAGTGAACAGAGAAGCATTTTTAGAAGCTGAAAAGGAAGGATTCTTGTTTACAGTGGTTTATATACCACTGGTTTACAGTGGTATGCTAGAGATAACATAGCATTTCATAACAGCAACTTGGTTAAGTTTAAGCCATGCACATTTATTTGAAAGTTCCATTGAGGAATAATGGGATTAACATTTTGAATAAGCAAGTATCAGAGGTAAGAAGAAAATTTATATCACCATTTATATCTGAAAGATATAATTATTATAACATACTTTATTGATGCTTCTAACTATAGAATTGCTAAGGTTTCAAACATTTTTCTTAAAATGTGATTTATTAATAAATCTAATCAAACATACATCAACTTAACTGAGGAATCAAAATTCTTAACCTCACTTCTGTGCTGCTTTAACACCAATAATACAATCTCTCTAAATATTTAGACAAACAAAAATTACAGGTTAGTTTGAAAACATTGGTTACAGCTAGTCCTTGACTGGCAGCCTCCCCATTATGTAAGTTATGATGATCATAAACCGGGTCACCACGTGACCAGACCTACTTTTATGACTTTTCTTAGGCAGCTGTTGAATGACTGTTGTGATCACTAAGTAACCACCATAGTAATTAAGCAATCACCGTGTTCGTTAATCCATTGTTTGCTATGGAACATTTTTGTTAAAAACCACAAGTAAATGCCAGCTTTCAGCAAAAATGTTAAAAATTGCAGACACATGACTGCGGGATACTGCAAATGGCCATAAATCATGGGCTCATTACCAAACATCAAAAATGTAATAATGTGAATGGAGGGAGAGCACAGCAATCATCAGAACTTCAGATTCAGGTCATAACTTTCCTTTAGGGGATCCAGCTAATTTCAAACAGTTGCTAAATGACCAGTTGTAAATCAGACTCTGTACTCAGTTAAGGCAATATGTACCTTACTGAATCTGTATTAACTAAATTTTCAATGTCTAAAACAATGAGGGAATCTGGTACTAGAGTTTATGAACTCTTGGTTGAAGGCAACCAGTTAATATCTGTATTTTACATGATTAGGAGGAGGCCATCCATGACTCATTAATTTTAATTTTCAATTCTAGTTACAATTGCTAAAACTATTGAGAATCAAAAAAATGTTGATAATCTATTGAAAATGATTCAAAGATCCATTAGTTGATAACAATCTATCATCTTTGACAATACCAGAAAGACTGCAGTAACATGAAAATGACCATAACTCAATCACCAATGCATATGTTTTATATACAGAAGATCATAGATTCATACTCTTGGTATCCACATTTAAAAGAAAAAGGAAATATGTGATACACATGACCTCTGCCCTAAGACTCTAGTCAGGAACTTCTAGTCAGAATTAACAGCTGTGAACTAGATAAATAGGTTGTCAAGTTGATGAAAACATTTCCCAATTTTGGCTATGTTTGTGAAGAATTCCATTGCAAATGAAATGTAATACAGTAGAGAAAGAAGTGGAGAAACCAACACCATGATCTCAGCCACTCTTCCTGGGATTGCATTAATTTAGTAACTTTATGCAGAATGCAAGCACCTGGAAGTTGAATCATTACAAAAATATGGTATATTCTTAGAAAAGTGAAGACACACATACTATGAAGAATCAAACATTGTATTCAAGTAAACAATTAAGCTTTGCTCTACTTTAAATGCTGGAGACCACTAATTTCATGATGCTACATGTATGTGCATAGATACATGAATGAAAAAGCTATAAAAGCTATTTATTGGAACATTAATACCCTAACTTCATCTTGACAATATAGCAAGAAAGCATTTTACATTTTTTGGACTCATTGGTTATCTAATAATACACTGTGCAATTCAGATGATACTAATCAAGAGATATCATTTCTAATGTTAGATCCAAACTTATCTATTGCTCAAACATTTTGACTGTTTGACCTAACTAGATGTAGATATCATGACTTGTTTTTATTATTTATTTTGATGTGGTTTTATTAAGGTTATCGTTTTGTAAATTACCATGTTACTTTAAGAATAATTTTTAAAAACTTTTTTTTACATACCTGATCTATTAACCCTGTCAATTCTATCCAAGCTAGGGGAATTCATTCTACTGCGAGGGCTACTATGATTGGAAGTTTCTGAGGCAGCATCATTGAACGAATCTTCAAATGTTAAGTATAGAATTTCTTTTACACATTTGTGGCAGATACTATGTTGACAAGGGAGAATAAGTGGATGGGTAAATAACTCCTTGCATGCTGGGCAGATGAGTTCTCGTTCAATATTCTTAATGGTAACCTATAAACAAAAAGAAATGAGAAACTATAAGAAGTACCATGATGGCTACAGTAAGTTAAAAAAAATCATAACATTATTTCAGTCAGGTAATTTTAAAGAAATTAAAATATAAATACTGTATACTGTACGTAGCTATTTTGACATTCAGCAATCCAGATAACCTATAATTTCCACTATAAACAGTTGTTCATACAATAACTAAAGACAGCAAGAGTAATAACTAAAGACAACCATTTTGAGAGATTAAGCGCAGTCAAAAATGAAATACTAATTTAATACATTTTATAAGAACAAGAACATAAAAATGAAATGGGAAAGAATTTATAAAATATGACCAAAGAAGGTAGAGGATAGGGCTCCAACCAATATGGAAGTTTATTAACTGCCTTGGATGGAAGGCTGATTTCTTGAGTTTACAGATATTGTCGCAGGATATAAACTATTCCAAGTAAAGCCACCTCTTGCAATTGACTGATGGTGAATTTGTCAATGCTGATGGTTCAAACGGTGCTTCATTTTTGGGAGGATTACACCCAATAATTACTATTGGTATTACCTTTGCTTACTTTTCCCAGTCATTCTATTTCTATTTGCAGGTCTTTTTATTTTGTTATCCTCTCCATTTATTTCTCTTTATTCCGCTGACTCCAGATACTGCCATATCCACTATCCAGACTTTTTTGTCTTTCTTATTGACAACTGTTAAGGTCTGAGATGTTATGTGGTGATTGCCTGTCTGCTTGAATTCTAAAGTCCCAGAGCAATTTAGCTTCTTCATTTTCTATGATTTTATTTTATTGTCCCATGAGTTCTTGCTTGCAGGAAAATGATATTTCCTGCAGATCTTCCACTGCATAATTGTTGCTACTTTGTCATTTGTGTTGATAGGGAGTGAGTGGTACAATTCACAGCTTCTCCTATGTAGCATGCTATACGGCTCAGTATTCTCTCCATTCCTTTTTAACATATAAATGAAGCCATTAGGTGATATCATCTATCACCATGGGATGAGGTGCCATCAGTACCCTGATGATAGTCAACTTTACATCTCCATCCTTGGTGATTCAAATGAAGCTATTGCTGTCCTCTCACAGTGCCTGGAGGCTGTGAGGATTTGGATGGGGGACAACAGACTTAGAATGAACCCTGGTAAGACCAAGTGGCTTTGGGTATGTGGAGCTTCAAGATCAAGGACTTTTAACATCTTTAGTTGTAGATGGGGATACAGTGCCTGAATGTGCAACTTGAGGATTCTCCTGGACTCGCAATTCCTGCTTAAAGAACCAGTGTCAGTCATGGCTAGAAGAGCCTTTGGACAGTTTTATGTTATGCATCATATATGCTGTTTCCTGAATCGGGAGCCCCTGCACTCAAGTCACTCAAGCCTTGTTCATCTCATGCTTGCACTACTGCAAACCACTCTATATGGGACTACCCTTGAGTATTCGGAACTCAAAATTCGAGCAAAATGCATTCATACAGACAATCCTTGGCACCCTTAGGGTATCCCATGTTATACCACTATGAACTGCATTGGTTGCCAGTTTGCTTCTGGATCTAATTCAAGGTGTTCTCATCCTTAAAGTCCTTCATGGCATAGGTCCAGGTTATCTGAGGAACCATCTTACCCCAATGGGCTTGGCCTTCCCCACCTACACTAGCAGAAGGGGCATGAAGATCCTGTCGATCAAGCAATTCCAGCTGGTGGGGTTCAGGAGAAAAGTCTTTTTGTGCTGTGACTCCTGTCTTCTGGAATATTGTGCTCCTCCCCACCCGCAAGGTGAGATTAAGACCCCATCTTCTTTCTATGTGATTTTGCTCCCTTCCTTCTCAATTTGAAATTGTCAATCTTTGTCAATTTGAATTTGATTTTAGTGTTGTATTTATTGTTCTAATGTTTAATCTTGTTGTATTTATTGATTGTAAGTCACCAAGAGCTGCCCCTAGGCAAGCTGGGCAGCATAAAAGTTTAATAAATAAATAAAGGAGTTGAAAACAAACAAGGGATAAAGATAAAAATATGAATTATTTTTACTATATTACATGGTTTTTTTACCTCTTGTAGAAAAAAAGCAAATAAATATAACACTATAGAGAAAACAAATGCCCAGAACAATATAACAATGTTTGATTCTGAGAGTTGCACTTTCACATTGATACCATGGTATGGCAGTAAAAACCTTAAGAGTTTATCAAACCACTTAGACATGAGAATTAATGTCGTTTGTTTAAAATCTATTTTAGCCTAAATATTTAACAAAAGGATGTAAATCCTATCCAATTTATTATTGTATTTTCTAGTTCTAAAAATAGTATTACATATATTGAAGTGCCTGTGCTTTAAATACACATTTAGTAAACATATGGTGATTTTCTTTGCTTCCTTTCCAAAAGGATTCTGAAGAAGAAGAAAGTACATGGATAGAAAAGATGCTTGTCCCAGTTACAGTTCAGTCAGAATAAGTTATAAACTGGTTGAATAAATCAGGAGATGTATTCTGCAACATTCAGTACTTCACCTTTTGGGAATGTCAATTTGCAAACTCAGCAACCAAAGATTTCAAATAGTCATTATTCATTCTCCAGGGAAAAAAAAAAACCACTTTCCACTTATCCAGAGAAAAAAGGGAAATGAAATAGTATTCCATGTTACTCTGTAATATGTTGACTAGGGAGACAGTTCTTTTTCAGTTAAAATTGAAAATATGATGGATAGATGCATTTTTGTCACACTGTCATTTTCTCAAAGGAATTTTGAAGTACCACAATCTGCAATCTAATCTTTCAAAATATATTTGCTTTGACATAAGCAAAATATATAAACAAACCACCATCTCTTCATTTATTTACTCAAATTCACTCAATAAAAAATTGATAGTTATTTTCACTGTTTAAACATCATTTTCCACTGATAATTTAAACTGAAATGTCTTAAAGACCTATGGTACTGACTCTCCCTTTTACTTTCTATAGCTTGACAATATTGTTTGCAAAAGTTGTTTGCAAATTAAGACTTAACACTTATATCCTAATGATAAAAGCAAACAAAATGAGTTAAATGTTGGACTTTATAAAGTTTTCCTTGAACAATTAGTTATCTTTCACTTTGGAAGATACAATAATCTGCCTTTTAAAAATCTACTTCTGAACATCTAACATTCAAGGTCAAATGTATCATTTTATGTAAAGACAGATGACCAAGTGGTGATCTTCCATCTTCAATTTTAGATTTGAATATGAATATGAAGTTGTTTTATCTTTCTTTCAACTGAATTTTTGAAATCATACCCCAGAGAAAGGATATTGCAGACTAACAGGGAGAATTTTTTTTTTTACCCTGAATCATTCTGAGTCCACTGGGTGCAATATCCAATCTGGATCACTTCTCCAGAATGCTATTTGGAACATATATTACAGTGGAAAACTGTTCTCAGAAAAATTGTATTGGAATAAATTACACTGACTTTTGATATCTTTTGTTGTGGCCTTTACAGTGGTTCAAGACACTCTTATTTATGCTTTTCAAAATTTATAAAAACTTGCTCTGAGAAATTACTGGGAAGCTTGATCTAAGATACCATCAACAATCCAACCTCTTTTCCATCTATTAATCTCTGGAAAATTATTAGTTAGGGGTTTCAAGGAAGACCTACATAGGATGAAGGTAAACTAAATGAAGCATAATCATTACAGACTGAGAAACTATTGTACAGAATAGTGTTTATACAAAAGCAATTTTGGAACAAAGAGTCCTGAAGGAGGTTGCAGTGAACAATTAGGTATTATCTTTGGGTTCACTAATTCGGGTGACTGTTTTTTCTCAACTTCAGTTTACCACATCCTGGTTTCATGCAGATTAGAGTGCAGTCCAATATTCTGATTTGCATTCGTTATCTTTGTTTGAGAAAACTGGATACAGCTGCAGTAATGCAAATAAAATTTGAGTAACAATGTGGAACCTGGTCTTCTTTTGCCTCAATTTCCCTCTCATTTTCCCAAGCGCCTTTGCATACATTCATCTACTTGGCTGCATGTACGCTTTAGAAAGCAAGGCTGAAATCGTCTTGTTTGCTTGTGCAAAGCAATTCATGACCGAATGACTAACCCTCTCCAGTCAATACTTACACACAAGTGAAAAGCTGGAAAATGGACTGCACCTACCCAGCCTAGATCAAGAGAATATGAAGGATGGACATACTCACTTGATCTCTTACGCAAGCTCCAATAAAGTGTTCCTACCACATCTGCAACAATGCAGACATTCCTGAAAGATCTGAAAGAAGTCACGGTCAAAGACTGAAATAGATGGAAGCTCCTCCTTGGGATAGAGTCCATCAAACGCTCAATTACACACTATGAGTTTGCACAAAGCTTTGGGTGAGAGAACACCCGGGGCTCCAAAGCCTGTGTCTTACTTAAAGCAAACAAGGGGGTGGGTGGGAGAAGAGTCAGCCTTCAAGCGAAGGACGGACGGGTGAGGCTATTTGGCAAGCCGGCTGCTGAAAAGGCAACCACAAGCTCTTCGGAGAAGGGAGCGGAAAAGGCTGCCACGGAGTTCTGCTTTTGCAGCCGAGCCACGGGGAGAAACAGAAGGGAGGCAGCCTGCCGTGATCGGGCTCCCTTCCTCCCCACGGTCGGGAGGAAGACACGGTCAAGCCCCACAGGTCGGGAGGGGGGGGACCTCAGATCCTCCCCCTTCCCTCCCATATGACGACCCCCCCCCGCCCCGTCAAAGCCCCTCCCGTCTCCTCAGCCTGCAATTTCCCTCTCAGGAACACTCACGACGGGTTCCAGCCGGTCCCCTTCCATCCTGGAATCGTCACTACCACTGACGCCGCCTTCGGTCCCGGACGGTTGAGCCGAAGGTGCCCGGGGGGGCGCGTGTCTGGTTCTCTCGCCCTCTTCGCAGACTCTCGGAACCGGTCGAGTCCGCCCTTCCCCCTCCCGAGAGCGCGGCGCGAGGGAAGGGATCAAGAGAGCACGCGCGAAGCGGCTACGAGGCGCCCAGCAGCTGCCACTGCTGCCCCTAGGAAACTCCGGCACCGGGCGGGTGGGCGGGCGGGCGGGCGGGGGGGGGGAAGGAGGGGGGGCAAAGGGAGAGGGGCGGGGCCTGCCTGGCAACAGCCTCCACGCCACAATGTGGGGGGCGGAGCGTCAGCGCCACCTGGCACCTTTGTTGAGCTGCCGCTAGGATGTTTTCTCCACCTTTCTTTCCAGGAAGGGAGCGGGGGAGGGAGGAACCTATAGAATGAGTTCCCTCCCTGACCCATCCCTGTGGGGGAACCACGAGGAGGAGGAGATTATAGTAACTCCTCTCGAGAAGCTCTCAGTCGGGCTCGAACCAAAATCGCTGCCACCCGTTTCCAGCCTAAGGGAGTCTCCGAGGAAGACCGCAAGGGCAGTTGCAACCAGGGCTGCTGCACGTAACTGGATTTCTATCTCGACAGACAAAAGGACTAAAGAGGGGAAGAAAGGAGGAAAAGAGCGCAGTTTTTACATTGTGTTCAAGGCAAAGTTTTGGGAGTTTTATTCTAGAAACGACAATTGCAGAAAGAATTAACGCGGTTTACAATTTTCGGATAGAGAGCACCGGTATAATTTTTCTTTGGGCAGAATCAGGAAGAGCACTAATCTTAATTCGCTGATGCTTTTGACTCTTTTCTAAAGCAAATTATGAGAATTGGAGCAGATTAGTTACCCTTTGCAGGCCTAGGGTTTCCGCAAGCCACTCTTTTCTTAGTCTTGGTTCCACTCCTTTATGAGGAGTATCAAAACCATTTCCCTAGCCTAGCCTAACATAAGAATTTAAGAATTACACTAAAATGGGGAAATTAACTCGGAAAATAAAATATCTGCTTTACTCATGATTTGATAACAAACTGGAACACATTCAGTGCATGCAGTGTTACTCTTAATATGGCAGTTGCACAAATTTGTGCAATGTGCATTTGGCCTTTAAGTATATTTAAACACAGTCCAAAACCTATTTTTCCTCCATAAAAACAATTTATAAGGAAGGTTGGGTTGAGAATGACTATGCCAAAGTAACCCAGTGGCTGAGGGTTTACGTAAATCATAAACTATGATTTACAAATACACTAAATCTAAGCCAAACTACATTATTGCTTGGTGCAAAGTAAAGAGCATTAAGAGAGAAAATATATTTCCCTACCGAAATATCATTTATTAGAGAGGTTTATTACAAAATGTTTAGGACTTCCCACACTTTAAGAGGGGTTTTAAGTTGAGGCAAAGACATCTTCACAGCCTGAAGGCAATGGCGCATACCGCATATACTGGTGTTTCTCAGCCTTGGCAACTTTAACAAGTGTGGACATCAATTCCCAGATTCCCCAGCCATTATGACTGACTGATGAATTTTGGGAGTTGGGAAACACTGGTATACACATTGGTTTGAGTTGCTAGGAACTAATATAGAGGGAAGTTGGAGGTAGACACCAGTTTCCATCTGACTAGATAAAACCTTTGGGAAAGTAAATATCTTCAGATTAATTCTCTTTATATCAAGTGTCTTTGATTCACTTTAAAAAAAAAGTTTGATTAAAACAAAGAATCTGACCTAAAGCTTTGTTTAAAATCATTTTTATTTTCCTGTATTCAACTTTCCCCCCCTCCCCCCAAATCTTAGGGCCATTCATTCATCACTATCAGGCTGATTTCCATCCCTGAGTCAGCAGAAACTATACCAATGTAAAAGATATCCTATCCATTGTTAATCCATACCTTGCTTCAAGTCATTGCAATCCTTACTTCCTTCCAAGATGGCAATACTTAAAATATTTTATATCTTTGAGATTGCCTTTCCACGCTTGTGACAAGAGGGAAAATATCCATCAAAGGAAAGCTATCTGACCTTGAACTAGAGACAGAATGAAGACAAATGATGTGTATAAACAAAAGCAAAAATCATGTTTGGCTACATTTATGCTGCAGTCAAGATATCTTTAAGGGAAGACCTTTCATCACAAGCATAACCAAAAGTGATTCCACCATTGTTTAAATAAGAATAGTGAATTAAAAATAATTTAGCATCTAATGGGTGATAACATGTTTATTTTTATTAGCAGGCCAGAAATGCCAGCTGGATAATTTTGGACCAGTAACACACTCTCAGCCCACAATGCCAGGCTCAGATGACAAGTCAGATGGTCAATTCCTCATACAATGAAACAAAACTCAGTTGAGCAACAACAAAAAGCAGACTCCCATAGTTGCAGGGAAACACTAGGAAAAATATATGGATCAACACTTAAATATAAAATAGGCTCATCTTAAGTCTATGGAGATTCTCAATCATCCAGATCATGGTTGTCCCAAAGGTGCTTTTCCCAAAGCTCAAATGGATTTTTTTTTTCTTTGAAAATGTTTAGCTTCTCATCCAAGAAGCTTCTTCAGTTCTGAATGAAAGAACCTTCTTGGATAAGAAGCGAAATATTGTCAAAGAAAAAAACAAGGAAGTCCAGTTGCATTCGGGAAAAGTACCTTTGGGGCTCATCATAAAACTTCAACATTCCTTGCAAATATGCACACACCAATAATGAGCTGCTGACAGAATGCCTGAGGCAGCAGAAGATGTGGGAGAAAGATCAAGCAGAAGTAGTGTCATGGCAAGACAAGACCCTGCATGGCATGTAGAATGAACATATACCTGAGGTAGCAGACATTGGAAAATCTTACAGGTGGCTGGAAAGGGATGGATTAAAAGACAGCACTGATCATAACAGCACAAGAACAGGTGCTAAGCAACAAATTCATAGGAACAGGGATCTACCACATTAGACAGGACCCAAGATGCTGGCTATGCAGAAAGGCCTCAGTCCAACACATTGAGGCAGGGTATAAGATGCATGCAGGAACAGTATACACTGAACTGCACAATCAAGCAACTGGCATTGTGTACAGGAACATTGGTAGTATAGAGCTGCTGGGTGACATTGGAACATGGATCTGCTCCCTAGACCAGGTGCCATTCTTCACCCACTTTAACTCAAAGTTGGAAGGGCATTATGACAGTACAGTACACATTGCTGTTATCTGAAACCATGCTGTCATTTTAATTAAATTAATCTTCTGAAACAATAGTTTCAATAACATGCCTATTTTCGTTGAGAAACGTGGTCTTCCTTGAATCTCATTTTGGGGGATGCACTGCCTGAGTGGGACTATAGTTTGATGGAGGAATACATCCTACATCATACTCCCACTCCTCCTTTTTTTTTCTTTTTCTGATTATTCCCTCGTTATTTTCTCGCCTTCCCTATTCACCAGTTAGAATATCTAACTGGATCAGAGAGTATATGTATTAGGAAATAGATATATACTATTCTTTGCAATAAATATACCAAAAATATACAATAATATTGCAGTATCTTTAACAAGCAGCCATAGTATTGACCAGCAAAATACAGCAAGGATATTAACACCAGACATCTAACTATAAGAGCAGCATTTTATTCATTCTTCACCTAATCTATATTGGAACAAAGTGGCTCTGACTCAGCAGAGCTCTTGAAGATATACACTAATTGACTTTGTTGAAATGAATGCATTACAGTAAGAGTTTTTCTGTCTGTTAGCAAAGAAAAAGAGACTAAGTGCTCTTCTGGCCTACCAAACACAGGAAACCACAGACTGTAACCATTTTCAGGGCAGATAACGTGACTTCACAGTCTGTCATTAAGATGCATTGTATTGAATGGGGTTCATTCTCCAAGAATTGAATTAAATATGGCAAGGATTCAGTCCTACTCAATATCTTGGCGTAAACCCTGAATATTTGTCAGAACATACTTCTGCTATAAAAATTGATAGGCCTCAGGAGAGTAGAATTATTCTTTTGCACAGAAACTAGCCTTTTCACAAAAAGACTGGACTAGATTCTTTACCTATCCATTATTATTCAAGTGTGCAAGTTATCAGAATGAACCCTTATTTGGAACCAATGACAATGGTTCTGTATGAAAATTGTGAGCCATCTTGAACATTTTTTACCGTAGAAAAGTATGTAAACAAACAAAAGATGAAAGTAGGTTTCCTTTTGTGAGTCAACAGAAATTGCCATTAAAGGGAAAGTTTGACATTATTTAAAAAAAACCTTTTTGGTAACACATGAAACTGATGGACAACATCTTGTACAATAGTACATCCCTTTCTTCTACCTATAATCTTCTATGTCTCCCCCCCCCCACACACACACACATACATACAAATGCACTATATGTTCTGGAGCACTGTTTCTCAATCTTGACAATTTTAAGATGTGTGAACTTCAAACTCCCAAGAATTCTCCAGCCAGCATAATGTGCAATTGCACTCAGAAGTCAACTAATGACTAGTATAGCTTGTGTGGCAGTAATGACACATTGGAAATGCCAACAGGTTCCCTTTTCTGCTCACACCGCTGCATTTTGAAACAGGTCTAGTTTCTGGGTGGTCTTCAAGGGCAGCTCCATGCAGGAGCATTGCAATATAATCTAGTCACCGGATGATTAGGGTATGAATACCTCTGATTGAGGAAAGGGCATAACCTGTGCACAAAGTGAACCTGTGGAAAGGCCCTCTGGGCCATAAACCTATCTGATCTTCAAACAGTAATTATGATACCAGAAAGACCCCAGGTAGTTTATGAGTCTTAAATGGAGAAATTCAGTTTGAGATGAGGACAAACTGATTAACATCAAGCTCTTTCAAGATTAGATTTTTAAAAATGTTCTGGGTTATAAAAAAACCTATTTCATTTTTTTGCAGACTGACATGAAAACAGCAGGAATGGTAGATTATTGAAAAGAATAATCCTAACAAGTATCAAAGGGGCATGATGGCTTAGTGGTTCAAGATGCTGAGCTTGTCATCTGGAAAGCTGAGATCCCTGTTCAAGACCCCAGTGCCATGTGATGGGGTGAGCTGCCTCAGTTCCTGCAAACCTAGCAATTCAAAAGCATGCCAATGCAAATAGATAAATAGGTAGCACTTGGTGGGAAGGTAACTGTGTTCCATGTGCCTCAGCA